CCAGTTTCTGCAAATACCCACGCCACTGAACTGCAACAAAGAGGAAAAGACTTGAGTTTTTTTACAAAATCACAAGGAAAACAGCAGTACCGAGTCTCCTGCCAAAACTGAAGGAGATGCATCAAGAAATAAACAGCTAAATGATTACACTGTCACATTTGTAACATTGTTTTTATTCTTCCATTTGTTCACCTAGTAATTTGTGGGGCTTCTTTCCGAGATAAGAATTAGATACTATAGGATTATAATTTTTTTTCCTTTCACATGTGTGTGATTGGGAGTGTGTGTACCTCGCATTCTTCATAAGTGGGTCATGTAGGGAGAGTTGTGACACTGCAGCAGTAGTGTAGACTGAACCCATGGTCGTCTCATAACCACAGCAAAGCTCCGGATAGCTCGGGGCTCTAACCCAATTGGGACATGCAAGGCATGCTGCAGTTTTTAATGTGATGTAGCAAGGCACGATGGGAACTGGCTTCTAATTGTACACTAAGTCGTCTCAGCATAGGTAGGGGCCAAGGCTTGGATGTGGGGAATTTTGCTGTTTATGCTTTCATTTTGGGGGGAAGGTTCACAGTTTTGCTGCATGAGTATTTGGTTTATGCCGGTGACCCCAAGTAAACAGATGTACTCTTCTTTCCTTAGGAGTAGGCAAAGGACTATCTTATGTATTTCTTTTTCATAAAGGTGGCCTTTCTGAGGTTTCCCCTTATTTCCCATTTTCCTTTTTTTTTTTTTTTTTTGTGAGAGCAGAGAAATGGAGAGTTTCTGTGGCATATTAAAGCTTTTTCTTCTAAGGAACTCTTATTTCTAAAGTTGCGCTCTCTTTAAAATGTGAGAGCTCATCTATTTCATCTCTTTCTTTTTATTTCATCTTGATTACCTTGCTGGGCCTATTGAGTCAAGGATTTGTAATATGGCAAGACTAGTGCAGTGTCTGCATTGCTTCTCTTGACTGATTGTACTCAAGATCAGATTTATGTTAAATGCCCATTTTTATTTTGGGAGGTTACTTTATTTCTAATAGCTTAATACCATTTCTTCCATGAATATATTTTTTTTTAATCTGTCCTTCCACTTGAAGGTATTGCCTTGACTTTCATAAAACCAAAACCAGTCAAGTCTCTGAATAAAAAAGTAAAAATCATTTTGTAAGAACAGAATTAGGTGTATTTCAGAGTTGTATTAATTCTCAATCCCTGTGAAGCTGACATAGACCCAAGCCAAGGGAAAGATGTAGATGTTTAGTTCTTTTCAGAGGTACAAAACCTGGTTCTGGGTGCCTAGGCTTTTTCTGTAATAGTGGTAGAAGAGCAGTTCCCAAATTACTGAGATTTAAACAAAGAGCCTTGTAGATTTGGGCATTGAGGAGGGGTAAGTGTAGGGGAA